CGGTAGTAAGCAGAGAATGGAATGTAAAGAGACATTCTGAAACTAATCATTGTCAGCTCTTTAAAAAAAAGTATCGATGAAAGGAAGGAATACATTTCTAGGCAGCTATACTTCTATCTATAATAGTCAATCAAATTCCATCATTAACTTTGTAAGCTGCTCTATAAATTTAACATCAACAAGTTACTGTATTGCTCCTCCATAGCTCAGCATGGAAATGCCCTCAGTGACGGAGAGTTTATTAAGGAAACATTTCTATGACGTGCACCAGCTCTATTTCACGATATGAAAAATAAAGATGATAGTATTAAAAGAATTTCTGAGTTACCACTCAGTAGAAATACTATCAAAGACAGAATAATAGATCTTAACAAAAACGTACAACATCAATTAAAAACAGACTTAAATAGTTGTAAATATTTTTCGATTTCTCTTGATGAAACTACTGATGTCATCAAATGCACGGTTGGCCATTATTGCTAGATATTCTGATGGTCTCACAATGAGAGGAGAGTGGATAAAGTTAGAATCAGAGCCAAAAAGTACATCAGGAAACGAAATATGTAAGGTCGTTATAAAAACATTCAGTGACCTAAACATTGATATCTCTAAAATTGTGTCAGTCACGACAGATGGGGCACCAAATATGGTGGGGGAAAAATGTGGGATTCCTGAAATTGTTTATGGAAGCCATTAGACATCCACTTGGACCTTGTCATTGCATTATCCACCAGGAGGTGTTGTGTGCCAAATCGGGATTCTCAGAATTGAATGATTTCATGTCAGTTGTAACAAAAATTGTGAATTTTATAGCTTCTCAACCCCTTCACAGGCGAGAATTTTCTGCACTTTTACAGGAAGTTGATTCAACCTACAATGGACTACTGATGTTCAATAATGTGAGATGGCTGAGTCGAGGTAAAGTACTTGAGTGATTTGTGGAGTGCTTTGAAGAAATTACAGTATTTATTGAGAAGAAGGATCTGGCAAACTTTCCTCAGATCAATGATCAGAAGTGGGTCAGCAATTTGATGTTTTTTACAGATCTCTCTGTTCATATGAATGAACTAAACTTAAAATTACAAGGTTTTGGAGTAAGTATTGACATAATGTTCAAATCTTTTGAAAGTAAACTTAAAATTTTCAAGGGAGACATTGAAACTAAAACTTATAAGTATTTTCCTCGGATAAAAAAGTATTTCGAGAAGGCCACTACAACGAGTGTAATGGAGTTCATACTTATGTACCAGAATATAGTAAACGCGTAATTTGAACAGTTCAGCGAAAGATTCAACCAATTTAGAAGCCTAGAACAGACCATTAAAATAATTAAGTATCCGGATGTAGTTGTTTACAGTACTTTGGAATTACAGAATTTCCAATGGATGCAAATTGACGATTTAGAGAAGCAACTTGCAGATTTTCAAGGTAGCATTTGGACTCATGTGTTTGTCGACTTAAGATCGAAACTTGAAAATCTGGAACGAAATCGTTTGAATAATGAAGAAGAGTGCAACTATGAACAAGAAACTTTGAGTGCTTGGAACAGAGTACCTGACACTTTTAGCGACATAAAAAATCTAGCGATGGCTTTGCTAACAATTTTTTCATCAACATATTTTTGTGAGACTTTGTTCTCAGCATTAAATAATATTAAAACGAACAAAAGAAACCAGCTAACAGATGAGGTTACTGGCGCTTGCTTGGCCTTTAAGTGCACCAAGTATGAACCTGAAATCAAAGAATTAGCAGACAAACTTCAGCACCAAAAAAGTCACTAATTTCTAGTTTTCCTACCATTTGATTATCATTGTTTTTATTATTGTTTTTTCCTAAATGTACATTGTTTTTCTGTTTTTGTTCATTTTATACTTGTTTTTGGCTGATTTTTCTTTGTTAAATGGCATTTAAATATATAAAATAAATATAAAAAAATATTTTTTTACTATGGTTCCAAATATCAAAAAAAAATTAAGAATATTTCTATATGTGACATGGCACCTGAGTTAAGTTAGGGTTTTTCAAAATTTTGACACGCCAAGCTCAAAAGGTTCGCCATCACTGGTCTAGGGGAACTCTCTACCTTCTGCTCAATTTCACTGTGAACCTGAAACTGCTCTGATAAATAAAATCTAATTTTTAAAGCATTTGTATTGATCTCATAGAGGAAGGGGGCGGGATTAGAGATAGAAATATCACTGAAGAGAATGAATCATTGATTGGCTGCCTTCTGTACGCCCTACACAGGGGATTGAGCTGGCAATGGGGATGTATGCCCTGACCAGGAACTGAACCATGACCTCCTAGTTCATAAGTCAACGCTCAACCACTGAGCCACACCAGCTAGGCAATAAAGTCTACTTCTATTTTTTTATTAAATATTTATTGTTCAGATTATTACAGTTGTTCCTCATTTTACCCCCCATAGCACCCCTCCACCCGGTTCCCACCGCACCCTCCGCCCTCAATTCCCCCCCCCCACTGTCCTCATCCATATGTGCGATTTTTGTTCCATCTCTTCCCGCATCCCCTACACCCCTTACCCCTCGCCAAGAATAGTCAGTCCACTCCCTTTCTATGCCCCTGATTCTATTATAATCACCAGTTTATTCTGTTCTTCAGATTATTTATTCACTTGATTTTTAGATTCACTTGTTGATAGATGTGTATTTGTTGTTCATAATTTGTATCTTTACCTTTTTCTTCTTTTTCCTCTTATTAAAGGATATCTTTCAGCATTTCATATAATACTGGTTGGGTTGTGATGAACTCCTTTAGCTTTTCCTTATCTGTGAGGCTCTTTATCTGACCTTCAATTCTGAATGATAGCTTTGCTTGGTAAAGTAATCTTGGTTGTAGGTTCTTGGCATTCATCAATTTGAATATTTCTTGCCACTCCTTTCTGGCCTGCAAAGTTTCTGTTGAGAAATCAGCTGACAGTCGTATGGGTACTCCCTTGTAGGTAACTGGCTGTTTTTCTCTTGCTGTTTTTAAGATTCTCTCTTTGTCATTTGTTCTTGGCATTTTAATTATGATGTGTCTTGGTGTGGTCCTCTTTGGATTCCTTTTGTTTGGGGTTCTCTGCACTTCCTGGACTTGTAAGTCTATGTCTTTCACCAGGAAGGGGAAGTTTTCTGTCATTATTTCTTCAAATAGGTTTTCAATATCTTGCTCTCTCTCTTCTTCTGGCACCCCTATAATTCAGATGTTGGTATTGAAAACCTATTTGAAGAAATAAGAAATATTCAAATTGATGAATGCCAAGAACCTACAACCAAGATTACTTTACCCAGCAAAGCTATCATTCAGAATTGAAGGTCAGATAAAGAGCTTCACACATAAGAAAAAGTTATAGGAGTTCATCACCACCAACCAAGTATTATATGAAATGCTGAAAGGTATCCTTTAAGAAGAGGAAGAAGAAGAAAAAGGCAAAGATACAGATTATGAACAACAAATACACATCTATCAACAAGTGAATCTAAAAATCAAGTGAATAAATAATCTGAAGAACAGAATAAACTGGTGATTATAATAGAATCAGGGGCATAGAAAGGGAGTGGACTGACTTCTTGGGGGGGGGGAGGGGTGTGGGAGATGCGGGAAGAGACTGGACAAAAATCGTGCACCTCAAAACAACAATGAGGTACCATCTCACACCTGTCAGAATGGCTATCATCAACAAATCAACAAAGGACAAGTGCTGGAGAGGATGTGGAGAAAAAGGAACACTCGTGCACTGCTGGTGGGAATGCAGACTGGTGCAGCCACTATGGAAGACAGTATGGAGTTTCCTCAAAAAACTAAAAATGGAACTCCCATTTGACCCCGTGATCCCACATCTAGGAATATATCCCAAGAAAACAGAAAAACCAATCAGATATGATATATGCACCCTTATGTTCATGGCAGCACAATTCGCCACAGCTAAGATCTGGAAACAGCCTAAGTGCCCATCAGTAGATGAATGGATTAGAAAACTGTGGCCTAGCCGGTTTGGATCAGTGGATAGAGCGGCAGCCTGCAGACTCAAGGGTCCCAGGTTCGATTCTGGTCAAGGGCATGTACCTTGGTTGCGGGCACATATCCAGTGGGGAGTGTGCAGGAGGCAGCTGATCGATGTTTCTCTCTCATCGATGTTTCTAACTCTCTATCCCTCTCCTTTCTTCTCTGTAAAAATCAATAAAATATTATTATTAAAAAAGAAAATGTTATTAAAAAAATAAAATAATAATAAAAAAATAATAAAATATTATTAAAAAAAAGAAAACTGTGGTACATCTACAGGATGGAATACTATGCTGCTGTAAAAAAGAAGGAACTCTTACCATTTGCAACGGCATGGATGGAACTGGAGAGCATTATGCTAAGTGAAATAAGCCAGTCAATGAAGGAAAAATACATGATCTCACTCATTTATGGATAATAGAGATCATTATAAACTTATGAACAAAAATAGATACAGAGGCAGAGCAGCCTCCAACATACTGTCAAACTACAGCGGGAAGGCCGGGCAGGGTTGGGGGGCAGGAGGGGGGGGGGGTAAGAGATCAACCGAAGGACTTGTATGCATGCGTATAAGCATAACCAATGGACGTAAGACACTGGCGGGGAGGGAAGGCCAGGGGATTGTCAAGGGCGGGGAAAAAAGGAGACATGTGTAATACTCTTTGTAATACTTTAAGCAGTAAAACAATTTAAAAATATCGTGCACCTATGGATGAGGACAGTGGGGGCGGGTAAGGGCGGAGCGTGGGGTGGGAACCGGGTGGAGGGGAGCTATAGGGGGAAAAAAGAGGAACAACTGTAATTATCTGAACAATAAAGATTTAATTTAAAAAAAGAAAAAAGAAAAAAAAATAAAGTCCTACAATTGGCTCCTCGCTGAGGGGGCGTGGCTAGGCCCTGGGGGCGTGGCTGGGCTCTAGGGCGGTAACAGCCAGTTTAAAGCCTGGCTGAGGCGCGGTGGCCCACGCCGGGTGGCTGTTACCTGTGGAGTCATGGAGGAGTGCGCTTGCCTCTGCGGCCTGGGCTCTTCGCCGGGATGTCCGTGTCGTCAGAAGCGCCAGCGCCCAGCTGAGACTGCAGTCGCTGATGGCAAGCAGGCCCAGGAAGACAAGCACGTGGAGGGGGACGCGGCGGCGCGGTGCTGTGCGGGGAGTGGAGGAATCCCGAGCCCCACGCCGCCCCCGCCGCCCCCGCCGGCCCCGCACTGCTCCCTGCAGGACCTGCCGGTGGAGATGCTGGTGGCGATCTTCGCCTGCGTTCCCGGCACCGACCTGCCCAGCCTGGCCCGGGCCTGCACCAAATTCCACCACCTCCTGCACATCGACAGCATCTGGAGACGGCGCTGCCGCGAGGAGTTTGGCGTTCGTGAAAACCTGCAGAACCTGGAGATGATCGGTATGTCTTATCGGGAAGTCTATGCGAAGCTGTTCCCATACAGACACATTTTGGGACTGTGGCAGCTAGATACCGAGCACTATAGAACACTAGTGAATGTCGCGGTGGACGGCTTATGCATTACTGGTTGGAAATACAGGCCTTCCCTTCACACCCATGAGGGCGGCCCAATACATTTCAGGCCCTCGTTCAGAATTCGCCCGACGAAGAGGAAATCAGCCAAGGTGGAGTGCATGGAGGGCCTCGACAACAGGCCCCACCACCGCCACATGCAGATTCGGAAGGACAGGTTCACGACCCAGTGCAAGAACACAGACCACGGAACGCATTTACCCAGGCGGCTTAGGGAAGAGGGGGGGCGGGTGGTGGAGGAGAGACAGCGGTATAACTGGCTGACCTACCGCCGCCTCTACCTCCCGCCGCGCCACCCGGACGACCTCATCAGGCCTGGCCTCTTCCAATACTACTACGATGCCTTCCACCTAAAGATCGCCATGCTCAGCTTCCATGGGAAGTATGCCAGGGTCACCAAGATCACGGGAGTCTCCAAGAAGACGTTAGAGATCCACCTCACGCGCCGCATCCAGCTGCGAGATGGCGAGATCTTCCGCAACTTCAAAGAGCTCTCCCGTGTGGTCCAGGAGATTGACAAGCAGGTGATCCGGGAGCAGCAGCAGCAGCAAGAACGTGGGACTGAGGAAAGCCAGGGCCATGGCTGGCAGAGCCCTGCCTAGCCCAGCGTGGGGGTGTCCAGGGCTGCAGCTTCGGAGGAGCAGCCTGTTCAGTTTGTTCTGCCTGTGGACGTGCGCTCAATAGACCAGAACTACCCCGCCACCTGCAGGATGTGTTTCTATGTCGTGGACACTGTTACCTTACCTGGCTTCGCCTACCCCAGGCGCTTCCCTGGAGTCTTCATCCTGTTCGATGAGAACCACTTTGGGTTCATCTGGCTGGAGTTGAAATACTTCTTCCTGTACAGCAGAGTCCAGAACACCTTCCAGAATGTGGAGGCACCGTCCCCGCAGGCTTTCCTGGATATGCTCAAGAACATTCAGTGCATGCCCTAACCAGTTTGGCTCAGTGGGTAGAGCGTCCACCTGCGGCCTGAAGGGTCCCAGGTTCGATTCCAGTCAGGGGCATGTACCTCGGTTGCCGGCACATCCCCAGTAGGGGGTGTGCAGGAGGCAGCTGATCGATGTTTCTCTCTCATTGATGTTTCTAACTCTCTATCCCTCTCCCTTCCTCTCTGTAAAAAATCAATAAAAATATATTTTTGAAAAAACAAAACCCAGGACCCTTTACTCTACAGGCTGACACCCTATCCACTGAACAAAACCGGCTAGGGCATTATTCTCAATGTATTTAAAGAAGAAACAACTCCTGGTCACTGATCTTTAAAACCAGGTTTAAAGTTTAATTTGGGTCTCCCAACACAGTTAAACATTTGTAAAGTAATGTCCACATGCATTTTATAAAAGTAACAAAATTCTGATATCATTTTAAAAGGCACTTTTATATGAATCACCTAACATTTACATAAATCACCACAAAAATATTTATACATAAATAGCATCCACATAATAGCAGATTTAAAAAATACTCAATAGTACAGCCCTGCTTGCAACACTAACATGCCATCTGGTCTAAACAGCCAGTGGCACAGGTATCCTGGCTGTATCGAGTGGGTATAGGGTCAGGCCTCAGGCTTACTTGTGGCAGGGCCACAAACAAGTCCCAGCCTGGAGGGCAGAGCTCTCCTACCACAAGTAAGCCTGATCTTGTAGCCCTCCCTCCTTCCTTCCTAAGTAGCTAATGTGCTGTGGGAGGTGCAGCAAGTGTTGTCAAACAAGAACATTTGTATACATGTTAATCTACTCTTATTTTAATCAGACTATAAAATAAAGCATAAGCTTGCAGGATGGGTGTTTTGTGTCCTCATCCAGGCATGGGAGATCCACTAAGCCCCAGCTATATTCTCTTGTCTGTCTTTTCTTCAATCCTTCACTGCCCTTCCTCAGGTTCACCCTTGGCTGTGCTGGTGAGGCACACGTGAAGTCTGCAAGTTTGTTTTTTTTTCTGATAAACACCAGGGATGAATCCAATCTTTACTCAATAACCCCACTCCTACCTGTCACTCCCCACCTCCCAACACCCACCCCTCCCCCTGGGCTGGCTGCTACAGCTGTTTGGGTGAAGCAGGATCAGGGAGGCCTCATGCAGAAGCTAAGTCCAAGTGTGTGGTTTGTGCTGGGCTCTCTTCCCTGACCTCAGGAGTAGAGCATGAGACTGAGGGGGAAGAATGCTGGGGGCTTCTGCTGGAGGGAAAAAGGAAACACCCATTTATTGAGCTCTTCCTCTAAGCCAGGCCCAGTGCCAAGCCCTCAAAATGCACCATCTCCTTGGATCTGACAAGCATCCACTAAGCTGGGTGAGCACCATGATCCTCATTTTGCAGGGGAATTGAGCTTCTTGCCTAAGGTCCCCCTACCCAAAAGCACCAGCCCCTGAAACCTCAACTTGGAGTCTTCATTTGGGTGCCCTTTGATTAGGGTCACTGTGAAGGGTTAATTTTATGTGTCAACTTGACAGCGCTAAGGGTTGCCCAGGTAGCTGGTAAAACAACACTGGGTGTGAATGGATGGGGCTAGCTTTTGATTCATTCGATGAGTAAGGAGATCTTAGAGTGTTGGGGGGCTTCCTCCAAATTCTGGGGGAACAAGAGGAATAGAAAGAGGAAAGAAGAATGAATTCTCTCTTCTTTGGCTGAGATGTCCATTACACACACACACTCGCACACACACACACACTCGCACACACACACACACTCACACACACACACACACTCGCACACACACACACACTCACACAAGTCTTGGATTTCAGAGAGGAAGAGACAGGGATAATAGAAACATCAGTGATGAGAGAGAATCACTGATCAGAAGCCTCTTGCAACACAGTATGTGCCTTGACAGAGAACAGAACCGTGACCTCCTGGTTCATAGTTGAAGCTCAAGCACTGAGCCTTGCCAGCCAGGTGTGCGATGGCTATAAATATACCTGCCCGTGAACATTGGAGTTCCTGGTTCTCAAGACTTCAAACTCTAGGCTTTACAGCAGCTGCCCTTTATTCTCAGGCCTTTGGCTTCTGAGTGGGGGTTACTCCATGGGCTCCCTGGTTCTCAGACCTCCAGATTTAGACTGAGTTATACCATTGGCTTTACTGGTTCTCCAGTTTGTAAAGCACAGATAATATGAGCCTAGTCCTATAAATGTCTTACATACGTCCATGTAGACCCTATTGGTTAGTCCGGAGAACGCTGCCTAATACCGGTATCTAGCACAGGCAGTACCTCACCCCCGCCCCGTCCTGCGCTGTCCCCCGATTTCCCGCGCTGACCCCCGCTGCCCCTCGGCCCAAGGCCCGGAACTCCTCCGCGGGACCCAGCTACCGCGAGCGTAAGACCCGGGAGACGTCCGGGCTCGGGAGGACGCACCACGCACGTGCGGGGCGGGGCGCGCGGCGTTGCCGTGGTTACAGACGACGCGCTCCGGGGACTAGCGGGCGGGCGCTTCCTGGGCGGAACTTGACCGCCGGAAGTGCGTGGCCGTCCGAGGCCATGGCGGCGCTTGGCGTCTTCTGCATGCTGCTCGGGGCAGCGGCCGGCCCGTTCGCCGGCGCCTTGAGCGAGGAGTTCTGGGTCAGCCAGTCGCCGGCCCACCTGCTGTCGGACAGGGCGAGCTACAGACGGTAAACGCGTGGCCGGGCTGTCGGCGTGGCTCCCTGGTGGCGGCGGGGCGGGGCGGGGCGGGGAGGGGACGCGAGCCGGGGTGGCCCGAGGCGGATGCAACCCCGGAGACCCCTGGAGGGCTGGCTGTGCTCCGCGTGGAGGGCAGGCTCGGGACCTGTGAGCTGATGCGGGTTCCTGCCCGAGTTTCCTGGAGCCCCAGACTCGGAGGTTCGAACGGGACGGTTCTAGGAGCGCAGCTTTGTTTGTGTGCGCGGGGCCTTCAGTCTCCACACAGATGCTGATGCTCATGTGTCGGGCCTGAGAAATGAGGGTCCGTGCGGGTCATCTTCGAACCAAGTAGACCTGTGCGGGGTGAGAGGCGCAGAGGTGGCAGATGGGCCAAGGCCTGGGCGACGCACAGTCCGTCCATCTGTAGTCACGGGACCTGTGGGAACACAACGTGGAGAAGGGGGATGAGGATGGGGAACGGTTGCCATAGACGCGCAGGGCCCGGGCCTGGGCCTTCGTAGCAGATGGGGTCGCTTTGGAGAGGGCAGCGGTTCTCAGAGTGTGCCCAGGGACCCCTGGACATACCATTTCAGTGGTAATACCGGAGTGGGGGTATTTGCCTTTTCACTCTCTTTCTCCCACTGGTTTACCTCGTGTGTGTCCCCTCCCCCCCCACGCCACCTGTGATATCACAACACATTGAATGCAGCAGCAGATGGAAACATTTACAAACATTGCCACTCTTCTCACCAGTTATTTTTGTTTTGAAAAAATATATACTTACTTTTTATTGGAAAAGGTTAATAATATGTAGTGGATGTATTCCTTTGAAGTGAATTAACACATGCCTTTTAACGTTCTTGCATTCACTTTTAATACAGGAATTATTTATAGATTCAACCCACGTAAACAACAGCCTCCTGGGGTCCTCGGTAATTACTGAGAGTGTAAAATGGGCTGGAGGCTAAAAAGTTTGAAAACCACGGGAGGACTGATTCTCGGGTTCTGCTCACCGAGGCGGCTGGGCTTCGCTGTCAGTCATTGCCAGTTGTTAAACACATGGTGCTCCGACTGCGGGCTCTGTAAGCCTTCGGTCAGACGGTCGGATGGCCAGATGGAAGTGAGTGGGCCGCTGGCTCCACCTCACAGACTAGAAGCTATTGGACGCATCGGGGTGGGTGATCACCTGTGGCTCTCTGGTGCCTCCGGGTTTTCTGTCCAGAGCCCTCCACACTGAGGGGCCGCTGTCCTGCTCCCCCTGCCAGGTATCTTCTGTATGACGTCAACCCCCCGGAGGGTTTCAACCTCCGCAGGGATGTCTACATTCGCATGGCCTCCCTCCTGAAGATCCTGATGAAGTCTGAGGAGTGGGTGATGGTGCTGCCCCCCTGGGGCCGCCTCTACCACTGGCAGAGCCCCGACATTCACCAGGTCCGGATTCCCTGGTCCGACTTCTTTGATCTTGAAAGTCTCAATAAAAACATCCCCGTCATGGAATACGAGGACTTCATTGCAGGTGAGCGGTGGTTCTGGTGTGGACGGCAGGCCAGGCCCGCGCTGGGTCATCTCATTGGGCCTGTGGTTGTATGTCGTAGCCTTTGCTCGGTGGAGGGGCCCTGTGTCCTTCCGTTTCCCACACGACCAGTGACCTTGGTTTTGCCTTAATTTTTCTAGGGAAGTAGATGTGAAGTCTTATGAGCTCTGTGCCTCCTCGCCTCTGACAGCCTGGGAGTCAGGGAAGTGCAGTTAGAGAGCCGCCGCCACGGAGGCCGGGGCTGTCCTAGCTCCTCTCAGCTCCGTGCGGAAGAGGCCATTTTACCAAAACACCACGTGTGTGTGGCGCTGACCTTGCGATGTCCACCGCAGTGCTGGTGAAACTCGTGACGATGCGTCATTTATTTAGTCCTGCTTGAAGATTTTCTTAGAGTAAAGGTATTTAGAGCTTACTGTTGCTTTGTTTAGAAGACATAAACTTAACATATCAGTGATCTGTCTATTCTGCTTCCCTAGAGAGGCCTAGGAGAGCCAGTCACACTCTTTAAGCCCCTGATACAGAGTCGAATTAATGATGAGTCATGGTCTTTAAGCTGCTGATACTTGTAACAGTTACTGGTGGGCACTACTCTGTGATGTTGCTTGATTTCCTACTCTGCAGGGATCTGGGCAGCTTAGAATCGGGGCTCACACTGAGGATGATGGCTTGCACATCTTCATTTTTCAAGTTCTATGAACGCTGCAGGCCTGGAACGACATAGTGTCTTCTCAGAAGAGGCAAACTCTGAGACTGTACAAAGCATTCTTGGAACTCTCCCTCCCCCAGTGCTGGGGTCCAACCCCAGCAGGTCCAGGGGTCCCCAAAGGTGTGGACGGAGTCGGCGAAGAAGGAATGACACGGAGACAGCGTTCAGTTGATCAGCAGCCAGGCCAGGATCTCTAGCCAGGATCTCCAGCCAAGTTCTGGTCTGGATCTCCAGTGAAGTTCTGTTCAGGATCTCCAGCGAAGTTCTGGTTAGGATCTCCAGCCAGGTTCTGTGTCCATGCTCTCCAGCCAGGTTCTCCAGGTTCTCCAGCCAGGTTCTGTCCAGGTTCTCCAGCCAGGTTCAGTCACCAGGTTCTAGTCAGGTTCTCTTGCCATGTTCTATCCAGGTTCTGTAGCCAAGCTCTGTCTCTAGGTTCTTCAGCCAGGTTCTCTCGCTAGGTTCTGTCGCCAGTTTCTGTCCAGGATCTTTTGCCATGCTCTCTCGCTAGGTTCTGTCTCTAGGTTCTGTGGCCAGTTTCTGTCCAGGATCTTTTGCCATGTTCTCTCCAGCGAAGTTCTTCTGTCTCTAGGTTCTGTGTAGGTTCTGTGTCTAGGTTCTGTGTCTAGGTTCTGTGTCCTGTTGTCTTGTTACATCTGTATTTATACCAGTTGATTCCAATCCTATCAATCTCTATTCCAAAGGTTAGGGCGTTTCTTATCTCCATTCCAGGGAGTAAAGATTATGTAGCTTAAGCATGATTGTTCGTAGTTAAAGTGATTAATTCCCCGCCTGGCACTTAGTTAAGGGGTTTTATTCCCTCCCTAACTTCAGGGGAAAATCCCTACCTGGGGAAACAACCTTTCTCAGAGAGGTGACCTTGGTTAAAACACATAGTGCCAAGAAGGTGAGCAAACATATTAAGAACAGTATGCCATATATGCCAGGTCCCTTGAAATAGCAAGGATGGACCGGCTCCCAGCACCCCAGCCCAAGAGGGGAGATGTAGCGTGGTGCTTAGTCCGACTTGACTTAGCCTGGTTCTGAACCTGGGCCACGGAGCTTCCCAGAGAACCTGCCCTTCGCCTTCCTGCAGGGTGGGGTGTGGGTTTCCCGACAGACGGACACAGGGACTGGTCTGGGCCTTAGCCATTTGAATTGTGCTTAATGACTGGAAACTGCAGGTGTGTGGGGACAGGAGACAGGAGTCCTCCCTGCTGCTGTCCAGGCCCCATCCCTGGACCTAAAGCCACCAGGGGGAGGAAGATGGAGTGCCCTGGGTGAGGCGCTTGTCTTTGCCTCCACCCTGTCCGACGAGCTGACCCTGCTCGGCTGTTTCCTCCCCCCAAAAGGGGACAGACACGGGCCCGTCCTAGGATGGAGTTCTGGGGGGTGCGGTAGAGCACCTGGCCGCATACCAGCCTCTCGGTATCGGATCACGGTCCCTCACTGTGAGGGGAGCCCTGGAGCTCAGCGTCAGGTGCCCCGCCGTGCAGATGTCAGTGCCCCAGTGAGGCAACGCGGACAAGACACCGGAATGTCACTTGCTGTGGCTCTCTTGTCACTGGCTCATTCCTTCCATCTTCGAACAAATCTTCACCACCACAGATGTGGCGGACACACCTGGGTGTAGGTGGGAGCAGTGGGTGGGGACACAGGCCCCTGCTCTTCTGGAGCTCCTGTGGGGAATGGGGAGCAGAAAATAAAGAATGTAAATGAAGCTGCCTGGGCTGGGTGGCTCGTTGGTTGGAGCATTATCTGTGCACCAAAAGGTTGTGGGTTCAATTCCTGGTCAGGGTACATACCTAGGCTGTGGACTCGGTCCCCATTCAGGGTGGGGCGGGGCGTGTACGGCTGGCAACTGATCGATGTTTCTCACATTGATTCCCTCCCTCCCCCTTCCTCCTCTCCCTCTTTCTAAAATGAATAAAAACATATTCTCAAGTGAGGATTTTTAAGAAAGAATATAAATAAGCCCTTGGAACCGGCAGTGTTTGAGGTGGTGAAGGTGCGTGGAGAAAGGAAAGCTGGAAGGGTCCACAGTGTTGGAGGGGCAGGTGGCCAAGGCCCTGAAGGGCATCCGAGGGATGTAGTTTGAATGGCCTCACAGGGGTCAAGAACAAGCCCTGGGCGATGGCTATTCAGAGGCTCCTGGGAGGGAGACGCTGATGACTGGAGGCACAGTGGGGAGGCCAGCCCCAGGGGGAGCCCCCGGAGAGGAGGGTGAAGGAGTGAGTGGGGCCAGCCCTACCTCAGGGAGGAAGAGAAGTGGGGGAGCAAGTCCAGGTGCTATAAGAGGCCAGGGTGATGCAGCCTGGACAGCTCCAGCCACCCAGCCCTCCAGGGACCCTGTGCCCCAATGTCATTCGTTCTGTCAGAAGCCCCACTTTGGAGGCTGCCTTCCGTCCTTGGAAAGAAGGGGCCCTGCAGTGATAATCCTCTGCCGGTGCTTTGGCGACGATTTACCGTCAGCTCTTGGTCTCTTCCAGAGAACGGCGGGCCCTTCATTGACCAGATTTATGTCCTGCAAAGCTACGCGGAAGGGTGGAAAGAGGGCCCCTGGGAGGAGAAGGTGGACGAGCGGCCCTGCCTCGATCCGCCGCTGTACTCGCAGGACAAGCACGAGTACTACAGGTATGACGGCGAGCTCTGCCTGTCGGGCAGAGGTCATCCCCGCATCTGGAGCACACGTGGGACCACGTGACCACGCTCTCCGCGTGCAGCCAGCCTCCTGGCCCCCGCCCACAGATGCCTCAGGTCACCTGGACACCAGTGTTACCTTTCCCCACATTGTTTATGGCGTGTGAACCAGGTCCTGGGAGTGGTCTTTCACCCCAGTCCTAAGTGGCCCTCAGAAGACCTCCGCCCCATTGGCCCCCAGGCGGGCGCCCAGGCAGAGTGACACGGCAGCTCTAGAGGAGTGTTGTAGGGACTGTGACTGTCAGCGCGGGCGCTGAAGCCTGAAGGGTCGCTTCCATCAGGTTCCCTCTGGAGGGCCCTGCTCTCCTGGCCTTACGCCCCGATTCCTGAAAAGAGCTCCAGTGGTCTCACCAAGTCAGAGAAACGCACGGTTTCTCTAGAAATCCTTCCCACAGCATCACTCCCTCTAACGGACCTTCACTGAGAGTCCCTGGGTTTATTGAGGCTCAGGTGTGCGTGCGCATCCAGGTGGCACTGCCTGCCTCTGGGAAACAAACTGAGCTGAGGGGTCCTGTGGCTCTTCTTTTCCAGGGGATGGTTTTGGGGTTATGAAGAAACAAGGGGGCTAAACGTTTCCTGTCTGTCTGTTCAAGGATCGGCTTCTGTCATTGCACCTATGCTTTTGAAAAACACGCCAGCACGGTAGGTGCCTGCACCGTCCTGGGTCAGTGAACGAGAGTGTGCATGTGCATGTGCACGTGTGAATGTGTGTGGCGGCGTGCATGCATGCGCATGCATGGGTAAATACATGTGTGAATGAGCACATATGAATGTGTGTGTGGGTGCATGTGCATACATGTGTGCACATGTGCATGTGTATGTGCACATGTGCACTGTGTCCTGGTGGCATTGGCATGCCTCCTGGCTGTGGCCTGTGTGGGGTTGCGGGAAAGTTAGACCTGGCCTCCGCCCCCACACTCCGCAGCGAGGCAGGACGGCCCTGGGATCCAGGAGGAGGCTTCGTGTCCCTGGGGAAGGGCCAGGGAAGGGCCCCAGAGCTGGCTGAGCGGCACCCACACCCTGGGCTCTGCGGCGGGCAGTCTGGCCCCCACAGGGTGCTCCTCGGAGCCACTGCTGCTCACACCGTCTTGCATTGTTAGTCACCGTGGGCTTGGTGACACGGGTGCAGTAGCTGGGACAGGCGAGACTCCGTGGCCGCCTAGAACCGCCCAGAAATGAACCCTCTCGGGAGCATGGTGTTAGGGGCAGCGGTACGTGCCCGCGTGCACCCTGGTGCCCTCTCCGAGCTCGCCCCTGTGCCTCCTGGCCCTGGGCCCGCTCGGAGGCTGCCCTGTGGAGCGCGTCGGTAAACGTGTGTAAAGTTAAGCTTTCTTTCCTGTTTAAAAACAGGTCCGTGATGTTGGACAGAGCGGAGAACCTCCTCCACGACCACTACGGGGGAAAGGAGTACTGGGATGTGAGTGCTGCCTGCGGGCCTTGCATGTTCTCCGCCGTTTAGTTTTGAGCAGTTAAGACCGTGGTGGTCGGGGCGGGGGTGGGTCCGGGTGGGGGCTGAGCTGGGCACCCGCCTGGGGGCCGATGGGCGGAGCGCTCAGCTGCCCTGTCTGCACCCCCAGACGCGGCGGAGCATGGTGTTCGCCAGGCACCTGCGTGCCGTGGGAGACGAGTTCAGGAGTAAATATCTCAATTCCACCAACGAGGCCGACAGGATCCCCGACGAGGAGGACTGGACCAAGCTGAAGGTAGTTTCTGTCTCTCTCTAACTAGAGGAAATGTAAGTCATCTCTAGAGATGGCGTAATGACAAACCCTTAATTTACAGCAGGGGGTGGCAAGATTGTCACCTTCACTGTCGCCCCCTTAGCGCAGTCCTCGCTCACTACTGTAACGACCACGGGTGCTGGTCATCGGGACGCTCCCCCTCCCCCGCCACGCAGGCGATTGGTCCTGGTGCAAACCTAGGGAAATTGCTGGGACAGTTTCTCTTCAGTGAAATGGACGGGAAATGACGCAGGTTCTAGACGGTTGCTGTTAGAGTAAAATCAGGTCACAGATATGCAAGCAGACGGTAAAAGATGACCAGTTACGTTCAGTGGTGTCTTTATAATACAAGAGCAATAAAGGAAAAATAGAATTCGTCCAACCACACAGAAGCACCACTGACGCTTTCCATCCAGCATCCCTTTACACACTTTCTTTTCTGAAAGGTTGGGTTTTCCTATAATTTAATTTTAAGAAATGTTATGTCGCTTTTTCACATTGACATAGTTTTTAAGTGTAACGTAGTTCTTTGACCTTTCACTGTGGTTTTTAAGAGCAAACTATTTCGTAGGCAGGAACACAGTTTCACCTGCTTATTCTCTTACGACACATGTGGCTATTTTAGAATGGAATGGCATAGGTATGTGGGTAGTCTTTACTGGAAAAATACAGTGTTAAGTGGAAGGCTTTTTTTTAATTTTTAAAAATGTTTTTATTGATTTGAGAGAGAGAGGAAGGGGGAAGGATAGAGAAATAGAAACATCGATCTGCTGCCGGCTGCCTCCTGCCTCCTGCCTCCTGCACACCCCCTACTGGGGATCAAGCCCACAACCGGCATGGGCCCTGACTGGGAATCAACCGGTGACCTCTTGGTTCACGGGCCAACACTCAACCGCTGAGCCACACCAGCTGAGCGGGAGGTTTTTATTTTCAATTAATTTGTATGTTTCATTTACCTGTTTCCTTGCACTGAGATCAGAGGGTACGGTAATTAGTCACTCCAGGGCCTTAGGGAACATCCTCAGACAGACACACGGTGCGGGACGCTGAGTGTGGAGCACTGTCTCCTCCGCCTCCCCTGAGCGGCAGCGCCTGGACGCCGCCCCAGCTCCCAGGCCCGCCCAGCATGTCCCGCCTCTGCAGGTGGAGCTGGGCTCCTCGCTGGGGGGCCCCTACCTCGCCGTGCACCTGCGGAGGAAGGATTTCATCTGGGGCCACCGGGAGGACGTGCCCAGCCTGGAAGGAGCCGTGAAGAAGATACGCAGCCTCATGAAGACCCACGGGCTGGACAAAGTGTTTGTGGCCACAGACGCTGTGAGGAAGGGTACGCAGCCCTGGCTCTGTCGTCCTCACCCCCGTTGTGTCTGGGCAGACCCACATGCATGCTGACCCTCGGCTGTGCTGCTGGGAGGGCGACCTGAATTTTGTGGTGTTGTCCTCTCCGCCCTCTGCTAGCTCCTGGAGCATCAGCGTGTCACAGGGCGTGCGTGTAATCCTGGTAGGCAGACGCCAATGGCAGCTCAGATCCCCATTCAACAGCCGCGCCTTTCAATTTGCAGAATATGAGGAGCTGAAGAGACTGTTACCCGAGATGGTGAGGTTTGAGCCCACGTGGGAGGAGCTGGAGCTCTACAAAGACGGAGGCGTGGCCATCATCGACCAGTGGGTCTGCGCGCATGCCAGGTGCGTGAGCGACCAGGTGCATGAGTCTCCACAGTCACAAGAGAGAGTCCTGCGTGCCGTGCGTGGGCCACTGCCCAGCCCCCTGCCCCCGGGAAGGCCCTGTCACCGGCACTCCCTAGGCTGCTGTCAGGTATTCGTCTCGTTCCCGTGGCCCGTGCTGTGCTGTCGTGATTGCTTCCCCCGCCCCCTCCTCTAGCTGCGGGAGGGTGAGTGTGGGGCAGCTTCATTCCCAGACCTGCCCCGCCTGCCCGCCAGGAGCAGCCCCCGGCCTGGGACTGTCCTGGGGGAGGCAGCCGCGCAGGGTGGGTCCCGGGCCTCCCTGTGGACTCCTCTGAGGACTCTGTGCCCGCTGGCCCCAGGGGAAGGCCAGAAAGAACTTTTGGAGTAAAACGGCAAGTAGCAGTGGAGCAGCTTATCTCCTTCTGCGCCAGATTCTCGGACTCCTGGGTGGAGGCCGTTTGGTTCTGATGGGTCAGCGTGTGCATCTGCCCTTGTGTGTGCCGGGCGCTCCCCCGGGTGAGGGCCTGTTTCCTCCGCCGAGCCGGGGGTCGGGGAGCAGGCTCAGCCCCAGTGGCAGGGATGGCAGTGGGCTGGGGCTGAGAGACAGCCTGCAGCTCGGCCGCCACCCCGGGTTCTGAGTGAGGACCTGCCAGCTCTGTCCCCTCCGCCCCCAGAGCCTGTGGAGATTGTAGGTGAGGGCTACGAGGCTGGCCTCCTGTAGACCCACGCCTGGCGGACCTGCAGGGCAGACCTAGTGCAATTGTGCCCAGGCTGTCATCCTGGGGCTGGTGGCTGCAGGCGATGGCCCCCCGCCGCCCTGGCCGTGGGGACAGCCTCGGGCCCGGGGCCTCAGGCTGGGCCGGTGTCTGCGGGGTTGTGCTTGTGACTGGTGAGTTCCGTGCACGACTCTGGTGACCCCTCTGTTGCTTTGCAGGTTCTTCATCGGCACCTCTGTATCCACATTCTCTTTTCGGATTCACGAGGAAAGGGAGATCCTGGGGTTGGACCCCAAGACTACATACAACCGGTTCTGTGGGGACTTGGAGAGAGCGTGCGAGCAGCCCACGCACTGGAAGGTTGTGTACTGAGCTGGCACTCGGAGGCCCGTGCCCTGCACCCATTGTACCCGCGGTGGACTGGGGGCTTCCCCTAACGTCACATGTCGCTGTGGTGTTGCTCCTGCCCTTGGTGGTGGCTAGACAGGCAAACGTCATGTCTCGGGGTCTCAGGCCCGAGGAGGCCACACACACATGCACAGCCCGTGGCCACATGAGCACAGCGGGAGCTGTGCTGCGCCTGGAGCTGTCCCTGTTCCTGTGTCTTCTAGCTTCGCTGCCCATGCAAAGGCACTGCCACTGGGGGCTCTGGTGGTCTTTTCTGTCAGGATCTGAAGCCGTGTGTCAGCCACAGCAGGGCCCGCGGCGTGCTTTCCTCGGCCGTGCTTGGCTTCTCCAGGGAGTCGGCAGGCGTGTGCGAGCAGCTCCCGTCTTGGGGCCGCAGAGCTGGCCGGGCCCTGGGGCTCAGTGTGATTTGAGTCTGTGGGTCAGTCATTGTAACTCACTGTTGCCCCAAAGCACAGTATAGTTCTGCCCTTCGCCCTGAGCAAGACCTCCTGCGAGCTGGAGGGAGGTGAACGGCTGCCTGCAGGGCGGGTTGGAGGGGCCTGAGACTGGTCGCTCTCCCCCTGTCTGGGCTGGGAAGTTGCACTCAGGTCTTGAGCAACTTGGCCTGTGCAAGCGGAGAGAAGCATCCTCCCCACGCCCAGCTGCTGCCTCTGCATCTGTGGTTGTCACTCAACACCCCGACCTGTGTGGCGGGAGGGGCCTAGCAGGCCAGCTGTCCTCGGCTGTCCTCCAGGGGCCCTTTCTGAGGCCTCGGAACTGCTACCCGGGGCTGGGGGTGGGGGGATGCCCCCGGGCATGTGTGTCAGCTGTGGAACACTGCCAGGGCCCGCCCTGTCCCCTCTGTAACTGGGAACCCTGACTTCAGGGACACCTGGGTGCACAACCATGGGCATGAGCGTGGGCACATGGCCCTTCTGCTGAGCCGGCAGCCAGGACATGGGGTCGAGGCCACGGCCTCCATTCTCCGTCTCCTTCCCAGGCTTCGGAAATCTGTGAACACGCAGGGCCCTTGGTGTCAGCTGTGCAGGCTGAAGTGATGATATATTTATTCTATTCCATTTGTACATTCACACGTTATTAATAAAATAAATGTTCTAGAAAGCAGAATCCTAGAAATGGCGCCTTTTCTACGCTGGAGCATCCTTTAGGCTGGAAGCTGTACGAAGCAGTTTGGGCTGTGGTCACCCCTTTTTAAGGGAAAATAGTGCTTTGTCGTCGTGGTGCTGCAGGAGGGCATGTGCCAGCGGGAGTGGGTGAGCCGTGTGCGGAGGCCGCCTGCCTCCTGTCCATGGTGCCATCTGCTGCCCAGCTCGTGAGAGAAAACTCCACTGTTGGAGCGACTGAGAACGTCAGCCTCAAGCCTGCGGAGGCAGCAGCGTCGTCCTGGGTCTGCATCCTGGTGGAAAGAGCAGCGAGAAATCCCACATTGGAGGGTGGGAGACACTTGGGGGAAAATGGCGGGAGGGGAGCTCCGGGCCCAGGGCCGAGTTCCCCAAGGACCTGGGACATGGCCTCCCTCGATGGCCCAGCACACTGGCCATGGTTACCCACCTGGCATCAAGTCCCGGGACCAGCGGGCAGCTTCGCTGGTGTGAGAGGTGGCACGTTGTGGCCCTGGCCAAGCCCAGGAGGGGCAGTCGGTGCCGCTGGCCGGGGCCATCAGGGCGCGCAGGCACTGCTCCCCGGGGCGGGACTGCTTGGGTGACTACCTGGGACGTGGCACCTTATGGCATCGGCCTGCCCAGCCCTGAAAGCCCGGCCACCTCCGGGGCCTGTCCCAGCACGCCATCTTCCCTGGAGGGGAGGGGAGGAAGCGGTCCTTTATGAATAGCGACAGTGTTTGCTTCCTGTGGTCGCAGCCTTTACCAGGCGGTCTGGCTGCGCAGCCCTGCTCTTGGGAAGTGTTTGGAGTGTGTGTGGGGGGGTGTCCTCCATGCAGGGCCAGAGGATGGGCTGTCGGGGGACAAACCTTACCGTCTTGACCTTGAACAGAGGGACCTCCAAGGAGTCCCATACTGGGATCCACAGGGTCATGGTGGGCTCTCCCAGGCGGAGGCCGCTGGGCCCTGGGCTGCGTGAAGCTTCTGATGGACAGGCCTGGGGACACGGGCCCGGCCCCACTCTCTCTCACCTGGGACACGGGTCCGGCCCCGCTCTCTCTCACCTGGGACACGGGTCCGGCCCCGCTCTCTCTCACCTGGGACATGGGCCTGGCCCTGCTCTCTCTCACCTGGGACATGGGCCCGGCCCCAATCTCTCACCTGGGCCTTGCCGTCACACCAGTGGATTCTCCCCGAGGTGGGTGGGGCTCCTGCTGTGACCACTGTGCCCCCTGGGCTCGCTGGGACTTCAGGCCCTGAGTAGAGCTGTCATTTCAGATGGGAGCCTCGGCCCAGAGGGAGGGCTGATTAGGGCTGCACAGCCCCTCCAAGTGGGTTGCCCTGTCAGTGTCAGCCCCTTTCTCTTCCTCCAAACAAGGGAGCCCCCAGGAGCCCCTCACTGCCATGCAGACAGACGGCTTGGGCCTGGCCAGCGGCGCCGTGTCGCTTGCTCATACTGCGCCTTGTCTGCTGTCCTGGGCGGGGAGGTGGGGACCACAGCCAGACCCGAACCCGGGCTCCACAGCCTGAGGGTGACCGAGGCCACTCAAGGAGCGGAGTTTGGGCCACACGCGGAGGCGCATGGGAGAAACCACAGAGCGGGCCGAGGAGGGCCCTCGCCCAAAAGGAGGGGACAGAGGGCCCCGGAGACGGCCGCCAGCGCCCAGCAGTCGGCAGACGGCCTGCGGATCCAGTAACCCGGTTTCCTGGCCCCAGGGGTGCGCGGCCTCCTCAGCGCGCTGCTGGCTCCCAGGCCATCTGTTCCCGCGGCCGCCTCATCGCTCCTCGCGGCCACATTAGCTGACTAATGAAGGCTGATGCTGCAAGAAATGGCCCGTGGCACATTAAATCTCTCATTTCAATGAAGAGGCCTTTTTAGGACAAACCAGGGCCGCTTCGTGTCCCTCACGGCTGGGCCCTGGGCAGCCATGGCCGCCTTTGTGCCCAGAGGACAAGTACGCGACCACCGCAGTGCCGTCAGCACTGTGCCCTGCGCGGCTCGAGAGGAGGCGATGAGCCCGCACGCGTCCGGCAGCCGGTAGAGCAGGCACCCCGTCACCTCGCTGACAGGCTGGACCAGGGTCCGGGGCTCAAGTCCCCGCCCCCACCCCCCACCCCCCTACTGCCCTCCTGGCCCTCAGCTTCAGGGACCAACAAGCACAGGAGTGAGGCAGCGTCATCGACATGACGCGAAGTCAGAGAAGGACCAGGAAGCCTCCGGAGACAGAGGTTTGAGGAATGACGTTTCGCTGCCAGGACGAGAGGGGACTAGAAGGCCATCCCAGTGAGGAGGTGGCCATTTGTGGGGGACGGGCCGTGCCCAGAGAGGAGGGTGGCCCCGGAAAGGACGGCCAGGCCATTGGTGGTTGGCTATGAGCACGGGGGCTGGGCTGGAAGGCCAGACGTGGGGGGAGCCATCTGAGCCAGCTGCCCACACCTGAGGTGCCCACTGAGCAGTCCTGGGGACCCTGGGACACAGGCTGAGCCCAGAGAGGTTAAGGGGAACCCCGGAGGCCCCATCGTAGAGAAGTGTGAGTCACGGAGGCCGCAGGAGCCTGGCAGCTCTGGTCCCCGCAGGCCAAGCCCTGGCTTTCCCGTGGCAGGAGGAGGAGCCAGCCAGGGCCTGGGCAGGCAGGGGTCAGGGCCTAAGCCCCGAGTTGAGGCATCCTGATGGAGCCAGGTCCCCAGAAGGAATAGGGACGTGAGTCCTGGGGGCCTCACTCTGAGTGGAAGGGCAAAGGGAAGAAAAGCCCCCTTCCCAGAGTTTCTGACCCCAAGTCATTCTCCTGCCCCCTTGTTCAAGGGTTTAAAGCCCCCGTGTGCGTGTGTACACACACACACACACACACACACACACACACTGTACTCCCAGTGATGCCTTGGGCTCTGGCAGAAGCACACACAGACCCTCTGGAGGGATGCACCCTCCATGCTCCATTCCCGCCCAGGGAGCCGGAACCCACACCACAGGGTCAGCAGCCATGCGAGGGGGCCGTGCGCACGGCAGAAACCTCTCGGGCAGAACCACACTCCAGACAACTGGAACAATCCGATCAGAATAGAAAGTAACTTGATGGACACGTTTACAGACATGAAAGAGAGTATGGGAGTATGACAGAGGACCAAGAAACCAACGAAAATAAAATGTAACTTCCAGAAATAATAATAAAAAAAGATTGACATTAGAAATGCAAGAGTTAAACAGTTGATTCCACACTAAAAACCCACTGTGAGCAGAATGGTAACTGAGGAGGTGACCCAGCAAGGAGCCCAGACACCAGAAGAAACCAACAGCAACACGAAGGGATGGAGATGAGAGGATGCGCAGGTCTCGCCCCCGTTGCTTGATGTCCTAGGAGGGACCAGGGGTGCAGAGCAGGACCCGGGAAGGAGGTTTGAGCCAGGGGATTTTCCAGACATCGATCCTGGTGTTCAGAGGCCCATGGAACCCCGCAGCTCAAACAACTAGAGATCCAGAGAGTGACCGGGAATGCAGGGACATGGAGACCGAGGAGGCCTGCGAGTCCCAGGAGTCAAGAGCCAGCAGTTTCCTGATGACCCCCCGAAGTGCAGCCACAGGCCCACAGATGGAGTCTCACAGCAGCAGGGGTAGGACACGGGAGCCGTCCGTCAAACCTGGAGACAATGCTGCCAGCCCGGGCTTCTGTTACCAGCAAAACTCCCTCTCAAGACTCAGAGCGAGTACAGACTTTTCCAGGCAAAGGAAAACCGTAAGCAGACCTCTGCTTACTAAAGACAGGAAATAAAGATGTAAAAAGAAAAACAGAGGCGAGGAAGCCGTAAACACGAGTGAAAATAACGACGTCGACTTTGTTTGGAAATAACCAGATGGTCCCGGAGGCCAGGGCAGGTGCGAGCAGAGGTAAGGGTCTTAGGGACCACAGAACATTGGAGAAGAATCAAGAGGTTGAACGACTTCAGACCCTTCATGGGAAATAGATTAAAGACTTAGATTCCTTCAAATGATACCAGTAGAGTCTACCTCTCCAAGTAGTTTGAGGGGCAGTCAATGGAATGAGGGGGAAAAAGAGAGTAAATCAAACCAAAAGAAGGCAAAAAAGAAGGAAAATACACAGAAGAAAAGGACAAAGGAGCAAACACAATATAGAAAGGTATCGGAAAACCCAAATAGATCAGATCCCAGATGTGAGTAAACAAAACTTCCCATTAGAAGACATGGTTAGCTGCATTTCCTAGTGGAGAGTTAGATGCTGGTGGAGGGGCTGACAGCCAGGCCGGGGGGAGGGGGGAGCATATGGGGAGCATGGAGAGCACAGCCTGTCCTGTGTGGGAGCCCCCGCCTTGGTCTCAGGCCCCTCTGTTGACTGAGCAGGCCCAGCATGGGGGTGGCAGGTTTCAGAAGAGGGGCTCCCCCGGGTCCCTGCGCTGAGGGTGGAACCTGGTGCTTTAAGCAGCCCAGGGTCTGTAGGTCGGAAGTCCTTGTCATGATGTCCCTGTGGCTCTCCCATCCTCCAGGCCAACGAGGACTCATGGGCCCCCATACGTCGCCTCTCCACTTCCCCTCCTGCCTCTGGGTTCAGGGACCCGCGTGATTCCACGGGGCCCACCACAAGACCCCCGGTCAGGGCAGCCTCCTGTTTGAGGTCAGGTGCTTGGTGACCTAATGACCCCTGCTCTGTCCCTTTGGCCGTGTAGGTAACACAGTCACAGGCACCTCCCCCTGGGCCACCAATCTCGGCCTGGATGCTGCTGGCCACACCTGGGAACTGAGTCGACGGGGTCCCTGTCGGTGCCCAGAGGGACAGAGCTGGTCCCTCCCAGCTCCCCGAGGAACAGACTAGTGCTGGACGCACTGGGCTGGGCTCAGGGAAGAGTGGTGGAGGGGCTGGGGGAGTATGGGAGGATGGGAGGATGGGAGGATGACAGAGGGCCAAGAAACCACAGAAAATGAAATGTAACTTCCAGAAATAATAATAAAAAAAGATTGACATTAGAAATGCAAGAGTTAAACAGCTGATTCCACAC